GGGCCCTCCCGCGGGCGGCCATGACGCACACCCCTGCCCTGGCTTGATGCGGTGGACGGCGGCAGCGCCCAGCCGCGCTCAGCCCACCAGGCAGCAGGACGGCCGTGGGAGCCAGATGTCCCGATCGTGCAGAGCCAGCGCGTCTGCGCACGGAGGGGCTGGAGGGGTGGCCCGGGAGCTGTGCTGGGCAGGCGGCTCAGGACGAGGCCCTGCACTGAGGAGTCCCACACCGGCGTCAGGCTGCCCGATCAGCCCCGGGCCGTTCTGTCCTGGGTCTGTGCTGACAGGCCGTGGGCCCCCTGCTCTGCGCCTCACCATAGGGCTCGGCCGAAGCCTTGACCTGCTGAGGCCAGGCCTGGGGGCTCCTATCTAGAACTGGGGGTCTGGCCCATCTCCCAGCAATGAGGGGAGACCAAGGAGGGGACAGGGAAAAGGGCAAGGTCCTGCCAGCTGTCAGAGGAGCCCTGGGGCAATGCCATCATGAGGCAGCACGCCTGGATCCAGGGTCCTGAGCAGGCCTCACGCTGCACCCTGGGCCAGAGGCTGCCGTGGAGTCACCGCAGTGGCCGGCCCACCCCAGCTCACCATCCAGAAGGGCTGTCTCGGGTTTCCTGGACATGGCTCTCCCAGCCCGACCCTAATGCAGGCCCCAGGGACAACCGGGGCTGAAGGGAGGCCCCGTCCAGCACGGGTACTCACCTGGGCATGCAGAATGCCCATCACCGCCCTCCTCCCTCACCCCACCCAATGCAGGTCACCTGTCCTGCTGCCCACTGCTACCCTAAGATAGCCAGGTACCACGGAGAGAGCCAGGACATGGGTGGAGCCCCCAGAGGGCCGAGTTGGGGTGCAGGCCCTGCCTGGTGCCTGCAAGTGGGGATAGAAGTGGGTTTGCGGAAGTCAAGGGACAGGTCAGGTCAGGAAGCACATGGCCAGGCGAGAATAAGCAGGCTACATGGGGACAGCCTGAGGCTGCGCCTGCTGGTCAGAGCCCTGGGGGGACAGGGTGGCATGCCGGGACCAGATGGCAGGAACTCAGTCGCGGGCAGTGAGCAGGCTATGCTCTATCTGCTGACTGACTGGCGGGTGGTGGCAGAGGCCTGCCCCTGTCTGCCAGGAGGGAAGGCTGGGTACAAGCAGGACCTCTCTTCCGGGCACAAGGCGGGGTGGACATTCTGACCGAACGAGCCAAACCGTCCACAGCCAGGGCAGCCTGGCTCCTGCCCGCAACTGGCTCCAGAGGACCTGCATGTGGCTGGCCAGGCAGGCACCCTCTGGCTGGGGGTCTCTGGGCCACTGACCAAGCCTGGTGGCCCACGGTCAGGGCAAGGGCCGCCCTTCACACAGCCCCTTGGGGACTGGGCCCAGGTGCTGCGCCGGAGCCCGGTAGCGGGCACTGCCCCCAAGTCACAGGCCGGCTGAGCCGAGCCTTCTCCCTGCTCCATCTCCAGGACACGAGGTGGCCGTGGCACCCATAGGCATCACCTACAGAAGGTGTGGGGGTACCCGGGGCAGTGGTATCCCAGTCAGCAACTCCTCAGCCCACTGACCCCTTGTCCCTCCTGAGGGTCAACAGCACCTGGCCAGCAGCCCGTCCCTGAGGCAGCCTGCAGTGGCCAGCACCCCAGGGGCCTCTCCCGCACCCTCTGCCCCTGCCTGGCCCTGCCCAGCCTCCCGCTGAGCCTGCTCCCAACCCTGACCTGGCCAGCTGAGCCCTGCTCCCCACGCAGGGCCACCGTCCACACAGCCGCTCTGACAGACAGGCGGGCAGGCCCGGGCTGGCCGGCACCTCACCTCCACGTCGTCTGCCTGCAGGATGGCCAAGGCCCTACGCACCCCAAATCAGCCCAGACGCCAGCCCCTCCCTTCACAGACGGGGAGCAGGGGCCTACTCAGCACTCCAGCACCTCACCCGCTTTCCCTCTGGGCTCTGACTGGGGGTGCAGACAGGTTCCGGAGGACAGGTGGCCCACACATCGGGAGGACGTCCCGGAAACACTCTCTCGCACAATAAAAACGGGAGAGACCAGACTGGCCTAGAACTACAGCCCTCTAAAAGAACTGGGGTGGGGAACCAGCAGTTAGCGTAATGGCTATGTTGCTGGACTCCCACATAGTCGACTGCGGTTCGTGTCCCGGACCCGGTGGCTTAAAACTCACGCCGGGCACGTGTGCGTGCGTGCCCAAGATCCCGAGAGGAGAATGGAGGAGAAGGGATTGCGGCGTGACCACCCCCCCTGGGGGGGGATTTCTCGCTTTCTGTCTCTATGTCTCTGTCTGTCTGGCGAGCGCATGCGCCCTACAGTGAAAATCTCTCAAAAAAAAAAAAGAACTGGGGTACTCCTCACCCCCACATCCAAAGACTGTCCATGAGGTGCACGTGGACTTGGGTCGCAGAGGCCAGGGGCCAGTTCCAGTTCCGAGCACCCGGGTATGGGTCTGTGTCCCACAACGACGGCACGGCAGGGAGGGCTCTCCATGGATCCACACAGTACTGCCCGGCGCCCCGGAAACCACACGTCCCACCCGCTATGTGCTCCCCGCCCCCCGGGAAGAGCGCTTCTGCAGAGAGCCAGTCACTGCAGCCTCAGTCCCCACAGTGCCAGGTCAGCCACGGCTGCACGAAGGGTGACTGTGCACCTGCGGGCCAGGCGGGCCAAGTGCTAGTCCCTGGGGAGCAAGCGCTGCTCACCGGGGCCGAGTGGAGACGGGCCGGGGTCCGCGGCCCAGGAGTCGGGCAGGGCTTCCCTGCAGGGTTCACGGGGATGGACCAGCACCCGCCTCCTGCGCTGTCCCAGTCTCGCCCTGGGCGCGCATGTGCCAACGCCGTGAGTGTGCAAACACGTGCACCTCGCTGTGCCGGGTCTGGATGGTGGCCAGCCCCTGGGGTGCTCCACAGCCGAGGGTCTCGAGCTGTGGCTCGGCCGTGGGACCCCACCCTGGTTCCACCTCTGGCCGGGGCAGAGTGCGCGATCACCTGCCCTTGGACAGGGGATGAGGACACGGACCCCCCCCGACATGGGATGACAGCCCTCGGGACGTGGGGAGGGTGCCCCACACGGCCCCATCCGCCACCCGATGACCACTGCTGCTGGCTTGGGACGGCAACTCCCACACTCCCCAGAGGACCCCAGAAATAAGACCAAGGTCGGAGAAGTCGAGGCCCTGCCTGATCACACAGACAGGAAGCTCCAAGGCCGGGTACCCGCACCCAGTGCCACCCCTCACGAGGGTCAGCGCCAGATTGGACGTGGGAGCGAGGGCATGGGCCAGGACTACAGTCACACAGGCCAGCCACTGAGACGCACCAGAAGTGGACATACTCCGCAGGGCCCTGAACCCAACACCCAGGCCCTCGCAGCCAGAGACCCTGCGGCCCGCAAAGGCCGTGTGCCCGCACCTGCAGAGGACGAAGGTGCGGGTCTGCAGCCTGGCTTCCACCGAGCACCTGGAGCCCAGCCCTCGCTCGGCTCTTCCCAACACCACAGCGCTGCCCCGTCGTCACAGGGAGAGGCAAGGTTTGGAGAGCCAAGCGCAGCCTGCCCAAGGCCACGGCTAGTCAGACCTGGGGCCAAGGCCGCCTGAGCCCCCCGGGCTAGGCGGGGCAGCAGGTGCCAAGGACGGGGCCCTGGGAGTGGAAACGCCCTGGGTGGGAGCAGCACACCCAGACAGGGCACACGCACCAGCCTGCTGAGGGCCGAGTGCCAGCATGGCCCTCCCCCCGCGGCGCCGGGTGCCCGTCCGTCCCCTCTTCTCCCAAGCCCACGGTGCCCTCCTACCTGCGGATCTCGACCTTGCTAGAAACCACGGCTCAGCGCTTTTGTTCCAGAAAGCTAACTGACACCAACACAGACTGCAGGTGGGAGAAGAGCCATGACACAAGGCTCCTTGTCACCCTCAGGCTTCGGCCAGGGCTGCCGAGGGCTGGGGCTGTGCTCTTTCTACCTGTCTTGTCTGGGAGGGGGTGTCTTAGAGAACTTCAGCCTTTCTCCACGAGCCACGTACACAAACTCGCTCACCTGGAGGGCTGCCAGATTGACCGTCTCCCAACACCAGCCCATGGCCCCTCTAGTCCCCAACAGGAGCTGGAATGACCCCACGCCAACCTCTGGGCACCCTAGCCATCTGCCCACTCAGCCTGTGTCCCTGCCGTAAATGAGACCCACCTGGCCTTAACTCAAATGCCAGCCTATCACCCCCACGGCATCTGGGCTGGACTCTGGGCCGCTGCTCGGAGCCCTCTGCCTGCTCTTGGGCTCTCCCTGGCATTCCCAGGCAGGCCAACCCAGGAGCTTAGGAAGGGTCAAGGCCCACCCGGCCACAGGACCTCCTCCATGTAGCTTGCTGAGACCTGGCTGGGGCAGGCCAGGGCACTCAGAAGCCACCAAGACTTGAGATTCAAGGCAGGGAGTTCTCCCGGGTGCCCAGCCAACTGCAGCCTGCCATGGGCCAGGACAGCAGCCACAGCAGGCCCTCCCCACACTGACCTGTACTCGGCCCCACCCACTCTCCACCCCAGCCTTGGGTCATTCCAGGAACATGCCAGCCTCTCGCCTGTAGCCTTGAACAAACTGTTCCCTGGGCCTGACACTTCCCCGCCCACTGCCTGGCCCTTTCCAACCTGGCTCTGTTTACACAGTACCTCCTCCAGGAAGCCCTCCCTGCTATACTCCCTTGAGAACACTCACTGCAGTGCTGGGGACATGCAGCTCACTCGGATGAAACCACCGAGGCCTGAGTAACCGTCGCATCTGCCACACAGTAGGTGCCACATACAGACTTGCTGGATGGAGTGGGGGCAGGAGAGCTGGGTGCGGGCCAGCACAGGCAGCAAGATTCGACACGGTCCTTAAGACCCAGCCAAGCAGTAACCTAAGGCACTGATGAGCTGTGCAACCCCAAGCAGGTTAAACAACCTCTCTGAGCCTTTATTTCCTCTGCTCCAAAGACAAACCACCTAAGAAGGAAGTGGGAGGCAGAAGGTTACCTTCCGACGCCTCCCTCGCTCCACCTGAGGCTGCACTGAGGGTTCAGAGAGCAAGCCATCTCCTGTAGAGGGGGTCCGGAGGGAGAGGGAGGACACCCCCTGGGCTGAGGGCCAGAGTCCCAGGCTCGCCCAGCCACACGAGGAATGTGGCCTGTGATCCCCTCCCTTTTGGGCCTGACAGGCAGCAGGCTGACCACAAGGCCAGCCTTTGCTCGTCCACTGCCATCAGCAGATCTGGGTGCCAGTCTTCACTGCACCCCTGCAGCTGGCCAGGCCACGGGCTTCTGATTCCGCTGGGTGTAAGCGTCCTCGTCCTCCGAGGGGGTGGGCGCCTGGGCTCCGCTCCAGGAGCAGGAGGGTTAACTGAGCCCACATCAGGGCACCACTCAGAGCGCTCACCAAGGGGCATCCACTTCGCCCACTGCCCCGTGCCAGGGACAGGCAGGGTACGTAAGGCTGAGTCCTGCCCAGGGACACTCAGTCCTGAGTCCGAGAACCTTATCCAGGAGCTCAAAGGGTCATCAGTCGGATACAGCAAGCAGACATCACGGAAGACTTCCTGTAAGAGACACCGCTCAGTGCCCACCAGGTACCACCCAGTGGACTCCTACATCCCAGAACCAACTCCCAGGGCTGCGGCCGAACAGATTTGCAAGCACATCCCCCGCGAGGCCAGCCACCCCGGCATGGCCCGGGGAGGATGGCCGACAGACACCAGGGGCCCTGGCGGCTGGAGGTGGCAGGCCCGCCCAGGTCTGCAGCGAGCTCGTCACCTCGCCCCGGCTGCGGTTCTCAGTGGACGACGGGCCAGTCAGGCAAGGCTGCAGGGGGAAGCCGAGCACGGGGCGCAGCCGGCCCTCAGCGGCCAAAACCACGTCTGCCCACGCCTGCCTCTCCTAAAAGGGCACCAGCGCCACCACCTGGAGCCCACGTGCTCCCGCTCCCAAACCTCCGCCTCACCAGAAGGCAGGGCCCTGACACCACTTCTGCGCCCGGCACCGTGTCCTGTCACTGTGAGCCCCAGGCCCAGCCTCTTGCCCTCTCTGGGTACTCGCTTCCTCCCCCACAGCGTCTTGTCTCCAGGGCCCTCCTCTGCCGAGCAGCGGGCCAGGCCTGGCCACATGGTTCCCAGAACCCCACGGGGCCTGGCTGGGAGGGGAGGGTGGTCCTGCTCCTGTGGCCCCTCACCCAGATTTCAGGCGTGTCCTGAACCAGCTCCACGCCCAGGGCCTGCACCCGCACCGTCCCCTCTGAGGACGCCGGGAAGCCCAGGCCGCGGGGCCCAGCACCAGGCACCAGGTCCCTGCTCTAGAGCTGTGCCGGGCAGGCCCTGGGCCTTCGAGTCCCCATTCTCTGCTCACGGGTGTGCCGAGGCTTCCACTCCCCGAGCCCAGCATCACCCACGCAGCCCAGGCCAGGGCAGCAAAGTCAGGCCCCAGGCTGCTCTCAAGAGGGCACCGGGGGCCAGGTCCTGCCCAGACCCCTCTGAGGGCCCTCCTCACTCTCTTTGCTCCTCCCCGATGGGTAAGAGGCAGAGGCACAGACTCCAAGCCCTGGGTTCGGATCCTGCCCCATACCCTACCAAGCTTCAGTTTCCCCTCCATAAAATGGCCTAGGGGAACGCCACACCGCCCAAAGTCAGGACCACGGGGTGCCCCAACAGCAGGGTGAGGGGAGGAGATGGAGGCCCGGGGAGGGAGGCGGGGCCCAGGCACCCACGAGGGAGTCCCAGCCAGGCCTGGCACCAGGCCGCCTGACACCCTGTCCTGTGACAGCCCGGCAGGATGTTGGGAAACTCACGAGCACGAATTTCGACACCACTGCATCAGGCCCAGGTTGCGACACGGGGTCGCACCCAGGAAGGACGGCTCCCACCATGGCCCTGCTGCCCGGGACACAGGGAGCCGGCCCAGGCGCACACGCGACCACCCTGGCCACTCCACCAGGGGCGGTCCTTGTTCTCGGGATGGGCAGGGACAGGTGGGCCCTCTCAGAGGGTGCTCCACACCCTGGGCCGGGCTACAGCCCCCTGGGGCGGGGCCCCAGCCATAGTAGCTGGGGCACCGGTCCGAAATCAGGCGCTTGGCCCTGCCCCAAGCCCCCTCCTGCTCGCAGTCCCGGTGCCATGAAACAGCAGAGAGAATTCTTTCCGACTCTCCGGGGCAAGGCTCAGGGGAGAAGACGACCAGGGCCTGCAGTGCCCTGACACCTGGCCTACCGTGAGCACTTGCGGAGCAGACACGGCCTGGCCTGGCACCCAGAGCGCACCCAGGCCGTGGCCGCCCCAGCCAGGGCTGCCCCCGGTGGCCTGCGGGTCTCTCAGTGGTACCGGAGTCTGATTCAAGGAGAGGCTGGGGACAGCAGCAGCCACTAGTCACAGCTCGTGCTCCTGGGGAATGGCCCCAACCGGGACCCACGGCAGCCCACCAGGTGGTGTGAAGGCTAAGGCCCATGAGCTGGAGGGACTGCCCCACCACCCGCCGGGAGGGCAGCAAGGACTCAGCTCCCCCCTAGCCAATATCCCCGGGAATGGGAGCCAGCTGCCCGGAACCCCCACATTCTCCCACCAGCTCCAGGTCAAGGGTCCCAGCACTCGGCCTGTGTCCCCTCACCCCCAGGCCCTCAGTCCCAGCACCAGGAGGACGAGCCAGAGGAGGGACAGTGCCTCTGCCTCCTGGCAGCACTTGCCTGGAGTCCCCATGGTCTGAGCTCACTGGGTCCCACCACTACCTGCCCTGCACGCCCAGGGGCCCACATGCCAAGGACTGCATAGGGCCGGCACCTGACGCCGAGGAGGGTCACGTCGCACTCGGCACTGAAAGGCTGGTAGGTCTGACATGGCTGCACCACGCCCACACACCCAGGATCTCAGGGGGCGGCTGCGCTGAGACCCGGAGGGCCTGCCTTTACCCTGTGGGGCCTGTGCTCCCTGAGGAAGGCAGAGAACACGCCAGTCCACACGGGACGATGGCCACAGGGTCACGGGAGAGCAGGTCAAGCTGGATGCAGTGGCTGGGCCAGACCAGGAGCTGGGCAGGCAGGTGGACTCTGGCAGCGAGAGGGCGAGGCAGGGTCCCCAGCAGGCTGAGAGCCCAAGTCCAGCAATGGGCTCAGGACACAGGGCACCTCCGGCACCTCCGGCACCTGTGGCCCAGAAAAAGACTCACGAGCCTGAGGACCAAGCGTGTGCTTCCTGGGCGCCGGGACCCGAGGAACGTCCCGACCCACCTGCCACACTGCATGAGCACAAACGGCAGAGTGGGGGTCTGCTGCGGGCTCGCACATGGCTCTGGGCACACGCATATGCACATGTGCCGCCGTGTAGTGACATCTGTAACGTGTTCAGTCAGAGTGGGCCTTGACCTAGGAGGAAGGGCCTCCCAATAGCCCCCCTCCCCACACCTGTGCCCACCTGAGGCCCAGGTCACTGGGGCTGGTGCAACTGCCTGGCCTGAGGAGGCAAGGGCCCTCGGGGTCCCCCAGCCCTGGGACTAGGGGCAGAGAGGCTGGGCAGTGCACAGGCCCAGAGGCCCTCCGAGGCATGGTGGCCACTGTCCCTCACACACACTCATTCAACATGCATGTGCATGCACAGATCATACACACAGGTGATCACATAAGTACACTCAACATATTCACATGTACACCCACACCACACTCACACACGCTCACACGCAGATACACACTTACATGGTCATATATGCTCATAGTCACACATACACAGAAACAAAAACACATAGGTACACATACACACATATACACGCATGCACACACATACACACATGCACACAGAGACACATA